TCTATATATGTCAATGATCTCCCTAGTATCCTGTCTGAGTGTGAAGTACATTTATATGCTGATGATGTCCAAATATATGTTAGTAGACCCGTAACTGAAATACATGACTGTGTCCGTATAAGTAATAAAATGTTGTGGCTAATTGAAAAATGGGCAAAGGAAAATGGCTTGGGTATAAATCCTAAAATTGGTAAAAAGCAACTTTCAACACTTTCACTCCAAAAATTATATATAAACCATACGCCGATAAGCTATGAAGTGAATGCAGTTAATCTAGGCATAACATTTAACAATACTTTATCATGGAGCAACCATATAGTCAAAGCGACAGGGCGTACATATGCTCTGCTGAGAAAATTTTCATTCTCCAAATCGTTCTTAACTGAGGAAGTTAGACTATTAATCGCCAAAGTTATCCTCCTGCCCACTCTCTTTTACGGCATAGAAATTTTTTGGAAATTGTGATGCGCGGGATTTGCGTACATTAACTGTAGCACTGTGTTCGAGAAGGCAATTTTTCATAAATGGTATCCGGCTATGGAACAATCTACCGCACCAATACAAAACAATTAGGAGCGCAACTCAATTTTAGAATAAAGTTAAAGATCTCTTAAAATACCAGTACACATAAGTATAAAAATGAAATAAAATGAAATAAAAAAAATAAAAAAATATATATATATTTTAAAAACAATAATAATTGTAACTAAGAAACTACGAAAATTTGATGTTAGTCATTAATATTAATTATGAGCGAGAGAAATTGTTAACTATAACTTAAAAATAATAATAATATAAAATATCAACTCAATGTGACTAGCGCGATAATTATAATTGTGCACTTGTAGCGCTAGGATATAAATAAATAAATAAATAAATAAATTTATTGAATCTTCTCCCTTTGGATACTAACAATAAGTGTATCAAATCTCATATGACTGATATTGTGCTAAAGGGTGCCCGAAAGTTATTGCTGGCTTGGCAGGTCGTTGCGTTGTAGACGGGATCGGCTGGAAACCCAAGTCAAGCCTCTTGCGAGGCGATCGGGGTGCACAGAGAGTTTTTCATTGTAGGACGCTTTCTGTTTGTCTATTTCATCTTTCACGGTAAGAATGCCTAGGTCCCTGTGGATGTTTTGGTTGCGAATATACCATGGTGCCCCAGTGATAGTTCGCAGGATGTACAATGTCAATGTTGCTGCTGCTGGCCTTCCCCCATAGCTAGGAGCCATATGTCCAGATGAGTTTGAGAGTGGAGTTGTAGAGTAAAACCTTGTAGACCAGACGCAGGGGCGAACGAGCGTTAAGAATCCAGTGGAAGCTGCTGGCTTTTAGTTTTAAATGTACTTTCTTGGGTTCGAAGTGTCTTTTCCAGGTAAGTCGAGGGCATGTTTGCCTGTTGAGAGTAAACGTTAGGTGTTTACATTTTTGTTCATTTATTTTAATCCTCCAATCAGATAGCCACCTCTTTACTACGGGGAGGTGGTTTGCTAGCTGTGTTGTGGCTCGGCCTAGGCACCTCGAGCGACTTAAAATTGCGGTGTTGTCAGCGAACGTAGATGTTGTTAGCTGCTCGTTCGGGGGAATATCCGCTGTATATAGGAGGAATAGGTAGGCCCTAGCGCGCTTCCTTGCGGTACTCCAGCTTTGATAATGTAGTCGTCGGATGTTGTTGTGTTGCACCTTACTGCTTACTCTGTTAACTTGTTTGATTGTTCCATGGTTTTGACGAAAGCCAAATTGATGAGCAGGGATAACATTGTGTGCTCATAGATATGGTATTATGAGAGTAAGAATGCATTTTTCGAACAACTTAGACAGACACGATAATAAACTAATTGGTCTGTAGGATGACGGAATTGTGTGGTCTTTTCTGGCTTCGGTATCATAATGATAATAAATTTTTCCCATTTTTTCGTATAGTAGCCGAGAGTTATGATCCCATTGAAGAGCTTTCAAATAACATCAATGGCAGAGTTTACAAGTTCAATTAACATTTTTGGGATTATTTGGTCACCGACAGGAGCCTTTTTCAGTTTTAGTTCCCCAATGACTTTCACGATCTCCTTTCGCTGAATCAATGGTGGTAGGGAAATAGATTCAATTCGATTTGTGGTAGGAAAAATGAACCAGTGGCAGGGTTCGGTTGGAAGACGTTTCTGAGATGTGAAGCAAAAGTTTCGGCTCTATCTTCGTCGCTGCGGACCCAGCTGCCAGATGAATTTCTTGATGGCTTCCTTAAGACGTTGTTTTAATGACGGCGATCTGTTGGTTTGTCAGGCACGTCACAGGTGCCTATTTTCTAGGACTAGCTGTTCAATTTGCAGATTAATTTTGGAGTGGTTGGTTTTCACGTCCCTGCCTTGTGGTGTTAGATACTTCTTCAAGAGGATCGGTAAAGCAGTCGATGTACGCTTCGATGTTGAAGTGAGCGGTTAATTTGATGAGTGAGCTTCCATACTTTTTATACCCGTTACTCGTAGAGTAAAAGGGTATACTTGATTCGTCGGAAAGTATGTAACAGGCAGAAGGAAGCTTTTCCGACCCCATAAAGTATATATATTCTTGATCAGGATCACTAGCCGAGTCGATCTAGCCATGTCCGTCTGTCCGTTTGACCGTCTGTCCGTCTGTCCGTATGAACGCTGAGATCTGGGAAACTATAGGAGCTACAATACTGGGATTAGGCATACAGATTCCTGAGATTCCTGCGCAGCGCAAGTTTGTTTCAGCAATGTGCCACGCCCACTCTAACGCCCACAAGCCGCCCAAAGCTGTGGCTCCTACAGTTTTGATGCTAGATAAACAATTTTAACTGAAATGTATTAGTCTCCTTAGTACCTATCGATTGATTTAAAAAAGATTGCCACGGTCACTCTAACGCCCACAAGCCGATATCCGCGTTCGTATCTACGTTTATTTGAAGTTTGTGGGCGGCTTGTGGGCCAATTGATGGGTATTAATGAGAACAATTCATTTCAGGTAAAATTTTTATTCTAGCATCAAAACTGTAGAAGCCACAGTTTTGGGTGGTTTGTGGGCGTTTAAGCGGGCGTGGCACATTGCTGAAACAAACTTGCGCTGCGTAAGAAGCTCAGGAATCTGCATGCCAAATCTCAATAGCCTAGCTCTTATAGTTTCCGAGATCTCAGCGTTCATCCGGACAGACAGACAGACGGGCAGACGGACATGGTTAGATCGACTCGGCTAGTGATCCTGATCAAGAATATATATACTTCCTTCTGCCTGTTACATAATTTCCGACGAATCTAGTATACCCTTTTACTCTACGAGTAACGGGTATAAAAATATGAAAAAGCTAGCGTCACTTTTGATTATTTTCTTTTATACTCTGTTATATAGGATTATTTTGGATTTCATAGTTTTGAATTATTATGTAAGAGGCGGACGACTATATCATATAGCTGTTATAGGAACATTCGGCTTACAATACAAATACAAATCTTCCAAGTATGCAGTTTCAGTAACCTACGTATAATTGCATTTGCATGATATGGTTTAAGCTACAAGAATATATAAATTTAGGATTTAGGATATTGGGAGACAAGTTTGCGTAGAAACGGACAGATCAATGGGAATAGGGACGGTCATGGCTAGATGTACTCATCAAAGTTCGGAAACTTCTTTATCATTGCGATGGCAACTTCTGCTTGAAATCATAATACCATCTAGATGGTATCTAAAAAATGACGAATTAGAGTTATAATTTTTCGGTCAATCGATAGGTATTGACGAGACTAATACATTTCAGTTAAAATTGTTTTCTAGCATGGAAATTGTGGGCGCCACTGGATTAGACGCCTTGTGGGCGTTAGAGTGGGAGTGGCATATTCGTGTAACAAACTTGCGCTGCGTACAAGGCTACGGAATCTAAATTTAAAATGCCAATTCTCTATTTTCGATAGTTTCTGAGATTTACGTTTTTTTTTAAGTTTGTGGGCGTTACAGAGGGCGTGGCAAATTAGTGTTTGGGTCAATCGGTAGGTATGGATGAGAACAATACATTTCAGTTTCAGTTTCAACTTTTATTCTAGCATCAAAACTGTAGGAACCACAGTTTTGGGCGGTTTCTTGGCGTTAGAGTGCGCGTGGCACACTGCTAAAACAAACTTGCGCTGCGCAATAAGCTCAGGAATCTGCATGCCAAATCCCAATAGCCTAGCTTTTATGGTTTCCGAGAACTCAGCGTTCATACGGACAGACGGACATGGCTAGATCGAATCGGCTTGTGATCCTGATCGAGAATATATATACTTTATGGGGTCGGATGCGTTTCCATCTGCCTGTTACATACTTTCCGACAAATCTAGTATACCGTTTTACTCTACGAGTAACGGGTATAATAACATATTCGTGAACCTGAGAGATAAATATTGAAGGAATTTGCCACCGACTTAAAAGTATTTTATTGATTTTATTTTGGTAGCCAATTAATTAGTTTAACTATTTAACACCTTTTAAATTGAAAAACGTTATTAAAATTGTGGCTGGTTAAGCCACGACGCTATTGACTTTTGGCCAATACAGAGAAACATTATTTATCGTAATATTTGTTTCCGTCTGTGTTTCATTTGTGTGTATACGTAAAGAATACAAGCAACCACATTGATTGGCTGTTGTCTGGTTAGTGCTGATGGTGATTCTCATTAGTACATTTTATAAAACTGAAATAACGATGTGTGAAATCTGGGCGGAGCTCAATTATTTAACATCTTAATCCATTAAAGGGCCATATGACACTTGCTTAAATTTCGACTGACTAATTGGATTTATTTGAAAATGACATGGTAACCTAGAGAAAAGGGGTTAAAATAAAAAAATGTATACTATATATTAAATCAAAACCTAAACGCTTAGGTTTCAATAACTTTTAAAATGAGTCAAATTACTAAATCGCAATATAAACACGTGTCATATGGCCATAAGGCATATGTATTTTTAGAGACAACATTTAAACTCCAGTTGTAGTCTTACGTAAAAGAGAGATGAATCGGGAGCTCGAAGAAAACTTTAATACACGTTTTTTTAACATTAAATCTAGTCCTATAAATGCAAGTGATAGAAATGACAATAATAACAAAATTACCAAAACGGGTAAATTTGGATTATTTAGTATCGACAATATTCTAAGCACTTTAGAACCTCATCCTAAACTTAATTACCAAACTAAACAAAATATAACTACTGCAATAAAGCCGTCAAGTAAGAAAATTTTTAAATTAAAAACGTATTTGGGACAAATTTTTTGATCCATAATAGATCAGTAATCAGTGACCAAATTTGTTCTGGCGGAAGCCCATGACACATAACGCCGGTGTAAAAAAAAACTAAATTTTACTTCAGCAATCCGATGTTTTAACACCCTTGTGACTGAAATATTATACAGAAAAATACAAATACCAAAAGAAAAATGATAAAAACTTAGGATATTTCATCCTCTAGTCACCCGACTAACAATAAGGGTGACGAATAGTACCGGAAAAATGCGCGAAAAATTAATTAGTAAAATACGCGTCGAACAGTACCATCCAATTCGGGCCATCCATTGAACAGTTAAGCAGTTTTTTAAAGTGTAAGAAAAGTGTTTGCACTTTTTTATTTTCGAACTCGAGTTCTGATAAACCGAATCAAAGACTCATTTTACAGGTAAAAGAATACCCTTTAACTTTCTTATACACAGCATTGAAATCCATTTATTAGTTTAGAAGCTACACTTCGTCAAAGTTGAAAAAGTTGGAAAAAATTCAATAACTGTGGCATAAATGACTTCTTTAAAAATACACGCCGAAAAACCGAAATTACTTTTATGCTTTTATCTTGAAGGCTGAACCTTAACGAAGAATATGAGCCATAGATCACGACAATACGTCGCTAAATAGTTTTTTTACAGGTATCCAAGTTCAGTATTCGGGAGCAGCGGGTGTTAAACATTATTTTAAATTTTCAGTGATGGTTTATCAGAACTCGAGTTAGAAAATAAAAAAGTGCCAAAAACGTTTATTACACTTTAAAAAATAATTGGTACCATACAAAAAAATTTAAGCGCCTTTTTCTAAATCATGGAGATGTACCTTACCGAAAAACCAAGGTCGCCTTCGTGGCGTATTTCGTCGATTTTTTTGTAAGCTGGTGTAATTTTTTTGTTTGAGCAGTTTGAGCTAAAAAACTTTCACTTTTTGAAAAGCCCTCTAGTTTACGGAGGAATAGCTAGAAAATACTAAATGTAAATGGCTGAAAGTACTTCCGTCTTTGAGGAAGCGCTATAATTTTTGTCAGCTCCCACCTGCATTCCTCTGTCCGTCCGTCTGTTTGTATGAATTCTAAGATCTCGGAAAATATAAGAGCTTGAATGTTGGGATTTGGTATGAAGATTCTTGGGCTTCCTGCTTCCATAACAATTAAACCCGAATAGCGCCCACATTCAATTTTTTGTAAAACTTTAAATGAGATTTTGTTTTTGCTATCAATATCTAATTACAGGCCAAAAACTGTTGAAATCGGAACATTCATTATAGATTTATAGCCAAATAATAACCAAAAATTAACAAATTCAATCAAGATTATCTCCATTCCTCTCCCATTTTTTGCTGTGTTTTTTCAAGACATTAGGAATGTTGCCATGCTATATTTTATTATAAAGGATATCAAAAGTTGTTTGATTCGGTGTGGAATTAATGCTCTGATTATATTCTTGAGCTGCTCTTATTATACCCTTGCAGAGTGTATAATGATTTCCATCAGAAGTTTGCAACGCAGTTCAGGAGAAGTTTCCGACCGGATTAAATTATATATTCTTGATCAGCATCACTAGACGAGTCGATCTAGCTATGTCCGTCTATCTGTCCGTCTGTTCCTTTCTACGCAAACTAGTCTCTCAGTTTAAATGCCATCGGGTTGAAACCTTTTAAAAGTCTTATTAGTATGACAGGAACAAGCCGGATCGGACAACTTTATTATATAGCTGCTACAGGACAATGACAAAATAATAAAAAGACAGTTATATATCTTTTATTTACGGTAGTTAATTAAAATGGAACAATATCTTTATTAGTTTTTAGTTTTCCTAAAACCGGAAAACTTTGTACATACAATGCTCCCACGGTAACGACCTACAAGGGTATAGAAACTTCGGCTTTCCGAAGTCAGATTTCTTTCTTGTTACGATTTCGAAATAGTCAGTTAGATAAAATGGTTCTCTTATGCAGCGAGCTGGTTCTGTTAATGTCGAGTGTGTTCTTTCAACATGTCCATTTGATGTACTGTGTATCGGATCTACGCAGTGTAAGGGTAAGCCTCACCTTTGTGCAAAAGATTTGGGCCGAGGTAATGCTCGGTTCGATATCGGTCATAAATACGTTGGCTTGGGAAAATTTTTGAATATTATATATTCTTTTATCTTTTAAATAAGTTTGTCCAAATTTACATTCTACTGATTTTTTTTATCATTTTCGTAGAAAAGCAAAATAATTAAGTAAACATTTTATTATTTCTCTGTCTTTTGAGTTTTCTACGGCTTTTAAAAATATTTTATTAATATGAAATTGTTAGAAAAATTTTTTTTAATGGTGTATGACAAAAGTCTTTTAAAATATAAGGAACTCCTACCGTTATGTAAGGGGAAAGATATTCTCTTAATATAGGTTCAAAATTTTACGCAGTGTCATTGTCCTGTCAAAACTTGGAGTGACTTAATAACAGTTGTTCCTTAAACTGATTTAACGGTTTTCGGGACTTTTGTATTGAGAGCTCGTAAGTAACTGTCGACACTTTCAATCTGTTTGACAAACACCATATATTTCCAGACAAATTGGGAAAATTATCAGAGCGAAACAGGTTTATTTTTGTTCTCAGCTGTTCTTCTCAGTTGTTCTTCGCTGAACAGAAATCAGTTTGTTTTGTTTAAAGAACGGACGTGTTTTGCACGAGTTCCGGAAAAAACACCCACAAAAAGGTAAATACAAATAACTTTAAATAGTCTAGGTTAGGTAGGTTAGCTAGGTGTGGTTGGAGATTAGATTACTAATTCCCCACTTAGGCCATACTGGGCGTCTTGTGATACCACATAATCTCATTGCAGATCCTTTTCCCTACGTCATGGGTTATTGGTTTTCACGAAACAGTTTGTCCTTTTTAGGAAACATAGGAGTTTGGGAATGCTTACGCCCTGAATGGCCGCAAAGCTCGAAAGTGAGTAGCTCCCTAGGGTTTGAAAGCGCTTGAGGTTATGTGCTGGGCAGAAGCATAGGAGGTGTTTAATGCTCTCCTCTTCGTCTATCTGCTTGCAGCTTGCGCGCGTGAGTCCCTAGAAGACAATGGGCCGTGAGGGCGTTTATGAGAGTTTTGGTTCTTTTCGGGTTGTAATTTGGCCAAGTAAGTCTGGAATTGTGGCAGGTTGTTGTCGGTTATTGGAGAGGGTGTACAGTACTGAGGTGGAGCTTGGAGGTAGCCATGGGCATACCCAGAGTGTCCTCATCGCGAAGGATGTCGGCGGTTGTCCTTTGTCTTGCTAGCTCGTCTGTTATCAGATGTCCTCAATTTTACGGTGTCCAGGCACCCAGATAAGGTTGATTTTCAGATGAGTGGCCATCTCGTTCAGAGATTTGCGGCATTCAGGGATAGTTGTTGAGTTTGTTGTGTAGGAGTCGATGGCCCAGCCCTCAGGCTGTCCGAAAAGATGAAAATGTCTGTGTCGTGATGTTCTGATGTATCCAGGTGAAACATGGCTTCCTGGATTGCCATGACTTCCGCTTGGAAAACACTACAGAGGTCTTGTAGACGGAATGAGACTTTTATGTCCAGTTCGGAAGAAAAAACTCCCTGACCTGTTTGGGAGTTAAGCTTGGAGCCGTCTATGTATATGTTTAAGGCGTTTTCGAATTGGTGTACGGGTAGGTATGGAATCTTGTATCTTTTTTCGAAGATGACTATGGGTGGAATGTAGTCTGCAATATGTGGTATGGATATCTGATTTGATAGGATACTGGAGTGACTTGTTGAGCCTGTTGTCCATGCCGCTCCTTCGCGGAGCTAAAGCGCTGTTGCAGACGCCCAGCTTTTGGGAAGTAGGTCCAGGGGATGAAGGTCGAGCATTGCACAGTGGTTCGGCTTGTATGGAGCTGCGGCCATAATTACTTTTAGTTGTTATATTGTTACAAAATTTTCTCCAAAATTAAAAAAAAACATTATAAATATATGTATGTTATAAGAAATGGCCATATCTTACGTCTATATAATATAGCTGCTATAGGAACGATCGCCGCCGTGACGACACCTTTTTTTTCCACCACCAACTTTGAAGTCTCATTACTTTTTGAACAGCCCTCGTATCGAGGCAATTTTTTTTTTATTTACTTTGAACCTTTTGTAATACAATAAATAAAAAAGTTTTCAATTATTTTTTGCGTTTTCAAATAAGAATTTTTTTAAAAAGGGTCCAAAAAACGGGTTTTGAATGAGAAGACCCCCTTAAATAGAAAATTAGTATTTATTAGCAAATTTTTTCTTATTTTTAGAGGTATGTTGTCTAAACTTCCAGACTATAAGGTTGGTGTAGTTTTTCATTTGCTGCCATAGGAAAAATCAACTATTTTGTTTATATTTCATAAATTTAAATATCTTCCCCCGTCTAATTCTCAAGCTATACACCTACTAAAATAATATCATATCAAAAAATTATAAATTAAACAATCATATTGTAAGCCAATTTATTATACTGATATTTTCAAAGCTATTAATGAATTAATATAATTATAACAAAGATTTATAATGTTCCTTCAAGTAAGTTGAAGTTCAAGTAAGTTCAAGTAACGTTGATTTGTCCTTCTTTCCATGTTTTCTTTGCCCAGTTATAAATGGGTCCGACCGTAAAATGAGTGTGTTCAATATGTCTGTGTTTGTTTCAATCCGTGACATTTTTCGGCTGTGATACAATCTACATTTTTTTAATTCCTTATTATTAGACTCGGCAGCTTCTTCCGAAAGCTCTCCGATTGACACGAGTGCATGCTCAATTACAGAAAATCCATGAACTAACACCTTGTGGACTGTAGCTGGCAAATAGTACCATGGATACTCTTTTATCAATTCCTTAGCAG